TTCTGGCCACATGTGGAGGATCCTGAAAAACAGAGCATTTTTATTTTTTTTTTTTTTTTTTGTCATCCTCTTTTTGACTGGAAGGGGTGGGTAGAGAAATAACGTGATGCGATTGCCACCTTCTGTATGAAAACACCAGCCCTCTGAGGAGAAGGTGGTGGGAGGTGATTAAACGGTTTGTTCACTTGACAAAGACAATCTACTTGACTAATGAAATTCTCCAACAACCACAAATTGAGCCGGACGCTGTTCTTAGGCATGCCACTGAAAACTCTGACCTAACAAGCAAGGTCTGCGGGGAGACCGACACTAGGTAACAGGATAAAACAAATAACAAGAACATGTAAAGTAGCGGCGACAAATGCCATGATGAAAATTGAACAGGGGAAGTACTAAACAGAAGAGTGCCTGGGCAGCTCCTTCCAGTTGGATGGCTAGGAAAAGCTCCCCAAAGAAGGACTTTTACCCTAAGACAAAACCCAGCTATGAGAAGATATAGAGAAGAAGAACAGTGAGTGCAAAGGCCCTGAGGTAGGATAGAACTTGATCTTATTCTAGGAACAAAAAGGGCCCATGTGGCTGGAGGTTAGCAACTGAGAAAGGGGTGGTGGAGGCGGGGTAATGGGCGGGCTGCTCGCACAGGCGGGGAGGCCTTGCCTCCAGGGCGAGTTGATTAGATCTAATCCTCAGGCAAGAACATCACTGGAAGGCTGCAAGCAGGGCGTGGCTTCTGTGATCTGATTTGAAAGAAGCGGAAGCATTAATAAATATGGTGACAGTCGGGATGGTGGTGGCCATCAGGTTTTGGGTACTTACCATGTGCCTGGAGCTGCATCACATGGGTTAATCCTCACAGCCACTCTATGGAAATCATTAGAATTTCCATATTACACAGTAAGAAAATCAAACCTGGAAAAGTAAAGAAATTTGCCTCCAGCTGGTAGTGTTTTTAATAACTTCCTTTTATAATTATAGAAGTTAATCACTGCCATCATAAGAAAACTTTTTCAAGTGAGCAAAAAGAAAAAAAATCACTTGAGATCACATCGCAGATAACTACTGTTAACATTTTAGTTTATATTTTTCCAGATGCAAATATATTATCTACTGTTCTCAAAAGTATGATTGCTTACTTCTACATATGACGTAATTCCCAGATTACAGATTTTTTTATATTTTTTAAATTAATTTTAAGAATACTGTCCACAAATCCACCTAGAATGATAGTATGAAAAAAAAGCCAAATTGTAATACATAGAATCGAGTATACTATTGGATGGTTAACTAATATGATGCATTAATTAAGAATAGAGTTAATTGATAAATTACAGAACATTATGTATTCTCTAAAGCCATTTTGCCTATGCTTGTATATTTTTGAAAACTCTCTGAAAGGATATATACCACATTGTTGATAGAGGTTAGTGCTGGTTTTTGGAATTTCAAGTGAGTTTAACGTTTTTCTTTTTGATAGTCTTATCTGTCTAATGTCTCTGTAACAAGTGTTTTTCTTCTAAAAGTATTAAAGTAAATGGTGGTGTAAAATTAAAGATTAAGACTGGATATTTCTTAATTTAATGAATTCTCCAAAAAGCATTTTTCTGTCCTCTCTATGCCCACAGCTCGAAAGTCATCCATCAGTCGCAAATTGCTCCCAAGAAGGCCATACCCAGCGACCTGCTTTGGTGGCCTTGTGTGGGTTGGTCTCTCGGAGGCAGAGACCCTCCTCTGGCCCTAAGCCTGCACGCATGTCCTGGGCACCCACACATCCAGCCCTGTGCTGGGCGCCATGAAGGCCAACACAGCGACAGTGAACATAATTTCTCCCCTCTACCTCACCACCAAATCCAGAAAAACAAAGTGAGCAACTTGAGCTCAAGCAGTATGTCATCTCAAGTAAGTGAGGGTCACTTGGGACACCTCCAAAAAAAATTCAAAGTTCTCCTCTGCCAGCGATGCAGCCACGTGTATGCTCCTGTGGTTTTGTCACCTGTAAGTCCAGCTCGCATGGCACCACAAAACTGAAGGTCGAGCTTCCGGAAGAACTATTCTTTTACTCGGCCATCTTCTAGAATTGTTTCTCTAGCACTGTCTTGTTCTTTCTTTTTTTTCCTCTGTGGGTGTCTCTTCATGGTTTGGACAGCTATGGCTCCAATCCCACTACTACTAGTTATGGGACCTCAGACAAGTTATTTACACTCAGAGACTCAGGTTTCCTCGTCTATAAGTGGAGATAAGGCCATTTTCCATAAGGCCATTTTCGGGATTAAATGAAATCATGTGAACCAAGCTCCTGGGATACCAGAGACCGTCTCTAAATGCCTCTCTCTTCTCACGTCTCTCCCGCCCTCCTATGCCCACCATCTGAAAGATCTCATTACTCAGCTTGAGATGTGTGGTGCAGATGAAGGGCTGGTGGGCCTTGGTCTGAGCCCGTCCAGCCACATTTTTGTTGGGTGATCCTGGGCAAGTTTTTAAACCATCACAATCTTGGGGATTACTATGCGATATGAATGAGATCGTAGATACCGAATTACTTTCCATTCAAGATCTAGCTCTGTAAATACTGACAGAGTATGGCAACAAGAGAAATAAGCCCTTGAATGAAAATGAGATGCAATAAATAAAATTAATCCACTGGATAACCCACTGGATAAACCTTCGATGAGCATTTTCACAGGGACTATTTTAAAACAGGAGATTTAATTGCAAAATACCCAAATCTATTCAAGACTGGTGGGAAGGAAAAGAAAAGCGACTTGCCCCTCTCTCATCTCACATACAACTGAGAAGGAACCTCGCCTGCTTCACGTCACCACCTTTGGCACATCTGAATGGGCAGAGCAGGACGGTCCAGAGAAGGGGAGGACAGGCAACGTGGAGGAGGTGCCCCTCGCCCCTTGCAGCTGAGCAACGAGGCTGTCCTCTGGGATGGGGACCCATGCTCAGCCCAGGCTTGAGGCATTGCCCAGATGCCAGTCGGGGAAGAGGTGCTTCGGACTTACAGAGGACCGGCTCCTACAGCAGAGCCGTTCCACTAGCATCGTTCTCCCAGGAGACCGTGCAAGGCCCGCCACCGGATTGCTTCTTTGTGTTCCTCTCTCTCGAGCACAGGAGTCTTTGAACTGGGCTGGTTCAGTTTGGGTGAAAGATGTTCCAAAAGGCTGGCCACAGCATCTTTTCCTAGGAATTGATCGATGGACTCAGCAGTAGGACCTTACATGACCTGAAAGGACACTCTACATGATTCAAAAAGACTGCACAGCGGGTCCCGAGCAAAGTCCATCCTGGGAAGGGACGACTCAGCATCAGGGCCCTCTCGGTGAGGGCTGACTGTAGGTCAAGGATGTCATTTCCATGCCACCTGTCCTTGTTTGTGACTTGAGTTAACAAGGCCATGTGAAAGTTTTCATTTCTGGTTATTGCGTTCAAAGTCAGAGTCCTGTTTGAACAGTTTGCTCTCTATCTGTGTTATAATAGACGGCACCTCGCCCTCAAGGTGAAATTTCACAGCCTCAGTCATCACAGCAAAAGGCCAACCTCGCTACTCCTGCGCAGCAGAGGAAAAGTAGCCTTGAGCTGGGCACTCAGAAAAAGATGTGCAACTTCATCGTGGCACAGGACATATTGCCCTTAATAAGGCTGATCTCTTTATCCAATGGGCATAGTAGCCTGAGGAAGATTTGGCCACTCACCGTCTGTGGCCCATGAAGCAAATATGAGGTGCTTCTCCAAGAACTTGGGTACCAGGTTTCCCTCAGAAAGTCAGACTAGCAAAATCTGCACACACGATGAATTTGACTAGAATTTAGGGAAAGTAAACCAAGACAGTGACTGAATTTCTGACTGAAGAATTTGGAGCTACTCCAAATTTTCATCAAAGTGACTTGACTGTCATATCAGGAAGGTAGAAATAGAATGTGATTATGACTTGAAAAGTGTAAATCTGTCTAATTGGCTGTATAGGATGCTGTGTGAAGAAGCCTGTTTGAAGAAGCTAACGCATGCGAAAAAGAGGCTCAAAGTCTCAGAAGCCAACAGGGCCACCTAAGCAGGGATGGGTGGGGTGCGTGGGCAGCTTTATTCTTTCAGGACATTGGGTCAGGAGTATTCCTCTTGCGGCCCACACAGAATAAATGTGATAAATTTCATTTATTCTAACTCCAAGCTAATTAAGCAAACATCTGGATGGAATTTGTCTTCTCAAGTACAATTTCCACAGAAGGAGACTGTGCTTGCCATGACAACATGAGTATTCTGGTCTATCAGTCACAATTCAGGTATGTACATCAGTCTCTGGGGTCTGGTTAATGTGAGTCCACTCGAGGAAGGTCCGGATCTGGGCCTTAATGGATGCTGTGACATTTGTGGTAAATAAGTCAGCTAGAAATACTCTTCCATTCACTCTGTGTACAGTAATGCCCAAAGAACACACAATATACCCATCCTCTGTAGTCTTAGCATCTGCATATGACATATTGCAGGACTCAATGATCTTAGTTAGAGCCCAGTAACATTTTTTAAAAAGCAAAAAAAAAAAAAAAAATTAATTGATACTTAAGTTAAAACCAAACCTTTGGCTTTGATGGGAGTTGCATTTTCAAAATGCCTGCATCCTATTGATTTTTCTGAATTTCTAAAGCCGTGGTCTCTTTAAAAATCATTTCCAATTTTTCATTTCTTTTTTTAAATTACATCACTCAGCAGCTTCACCAGACCCCGACCTGACAATATTTTCATATTCATCAACACCAGAAGAACTAGACACACTGCAGAGGAAGAAAATCTGCCCGTAGTGGACCCAAACGGGGACATCTGGGCTGCGTCTTCCCTTCCTCCATGCCCCCAACGGTCTAAATTTAGTTTCCTGGATGGGCTGTAATGACATTAACATGTTGCAAGAACAAGAATCAAGCAGAAGAGAAAAAAGAAGCTTAATGTGGCACGAGGTATTTTAATGCCATGGCAACTACGATGTCTTCTCTATTATTTAATTCACTTCCTCGGGTCAGGTGATTCTGACCTCTCTCCCCTGCACTTCCTGTTGCTGTGAGGAAATCAGGTCGCCCTGAATTCCCGAGCCCTCTTCATGGCTGCAGTCTCGTCTATTCCCGGCAGAACGTATTCTCTCCATCTCTTCCTTTGCTTTCGGGCCTTTATTCGGTGGCCTTGATGTCCCCCGTTGCTCTTCACCGAGCTCCACCTGCTGTAACTGCTTCCCTTTTATCCACACCTCCCCGCGCCCTCTCCTCCCTGCTCCTGTCCCTGCCCCTCCCTCCAGCTTCTACAGCTGTCACCAGTGCAGTTAGCCACTTGATTTGGGACTTAGTGCTTCAGAATCCAGGGCCATGCCTCTCTTCCTAGAGTGAGACAAAGGTCCCTCCCTTGCAGATCTCAGTGCCATTAAAACGAGATAACTCGGGGACTCGAATGCGTCTTCCGCTTTCCTTTTTCTGTGCGTCTCCCTGGGGCTCTCCATGCTCTATTTAGCTTTTCCCCAGGAAAGGTGGACAGAGAAGGTTTGAGCTTAGACTGCAGCCCAACCTCCTCACTTCCAGAGGGAAAACGAAGGTCCAGAGAGCTTCCTGAACCAATTGCGTGGCTAGTTCTTGGAGGAACCGAAACGAATAGAGTAAAAAGGCAATCGAATTGGCGAATTTGGTGGGGAAGAATCTTGTTAAGGCCTGAGCAGCACCCAAGCGAGCTATGATGATTATTAAAGACTTCCGTCACTCATTCTGTCCTTGTCTTCCTGCCAGCAGTGCAAACAAACAAAGCAGAACCTGCCATAGATCCAAGGGACACCTGCCTCCCAGGACCATGAAGACCCAGAAGACTGCCTGGGCCCCTCCAGCCACTACCGGCAGGACGGGATGAGGGCACAGGGACCGCTGGCACCAGTAAATTCCTCATGAGTTCCACATTCTCTAGCTTTTTCACAATTTGCCAGTGTGTATAGTGGCGGATTGTCAGAATTTTTTCCCCTGAATGCAGGAAAGTGTATAAGATACAAGACGCCTATAAAAATATATTTATTGCAAAAGTTATATCGATCTTATAAGCAAGCCCCAGCCTTCTCAGGGGAAAGACAGGGGTGGTCGAATGAATAAAAGAACTCGGTGTTTCTACTGCTTGCTGCAGTGGAAAAGGGACTTCAGTTTCCCAAGCTGAGGGGGAAGAGAGGGATGTAGCCTGGGATGTGAAGGCAGCAAGCCAGAACAGCTGAGACCAGCCACTCCTTGGTGTGAGCGTAGAAGCAGGTCTCACCCCGGGACCTGGCTGTCGGATGTCCTGTTGTGGTCCCTGTCCTCCCAGCCAGGGTGGGTTCTGGCACATGGATCTGCTGAGTTAGGAGCTGAGCCACGCTGCTGCTGCTGCTGCTGCTCACAGCGATTAGAGCTCTATTGATTTCCTAGCCCCTGACCACAGTGGTGGGGACAGAGTACGACAGAGGAAGGTGGCAGGAAGCCAAGTGGAAAGAGGGTTTATAAAATGAGCTCTCAATGAAGAAAACTGTGGGAAAGAATGCGACAGAAGCAGATTTGGGGCCAGTAGATGTGGGAAAGTAGAATAACTCAAAAACTCTCTCTTGACTTGAGCTAAAACCAAGCGCTTTGCCAACACGCAGGCAGAGGATCCCGTCTGTGAGAAAGACTCAGCACTATTTATATAAAACAGAATATTCCTCTTTGCAAAATCACCGCTGACAGTGCTTAACTTTCCCTCTGTACCAGGCACGGTGTTGGGTTGTGGGACCGTAAATAAGAATCAGTCGGCCTAGAGAAGGGGATGGAGAACATACCCAAAATGGTTTGCAAAAATGCAAATGTATCTTAAAGGGGTCATGAAAACATTTTACCTACATATTAGGCCCAGAGCCAGCAAAAATGAATGGCGGCTGAAGGCGGGCAGGACTGTGTCCCAGCCCACCTCATGCGCGAATCCGTGACGGTTCTCAGGGAGCTTTCACTCTGGTCACTACTCATCCTGACAGTCACTTCCCATGCCCACCCCTTCCAGGCCCAGACGAGGCCTGCTTCAGGGATGCGAGCTGTGAGCAAGGCTCCTGGTGTGCTCAAGGCAGCAAAGAGAAAGGGAGGACCTGACGGTTTGGATGTGCTGGTCCACATGCTGGGAAATCCTCGTGGCACCGAAGGGATGGCTGGACATCCTCCTCTGAACCCAGAGAAGGGGCAGCGCACTTATGACAGGATTCCTGCCCCCACCCCCACATACCCACCCACCATGAACTTGTATCTCTGGGGTTCCCCTGTGTGTTTTGAGGGGAGATTTCTTCCAATCTACATTCCCCCTGCTTCAGCCCCCTTTAGGAAAGGAATAAATTATTTTTGCTTCCTGTTAGCCTTTTTAAAAAGTTATTTTTTTGCCCCTGAAAATAAACTGGAAAATGAGGAAGGAGATGGGTATCTGATGCGTTTTCGTATGTCAGTGTCACATATGAGGGAGATTATGTGTTTAAAAAGGGAAAAAAAGGAAAAATGTCATATAATTCAAAACCAGTGAGTGCGCAAACTCGGTATGTGATAGCTTTTAAGAGAAAGAAAGAGAGAGAGAGAGAGAGAATCCTGCTTCTGAGGTTCATGTTTCAGAATGATGTAACCTAAGTGGCTCTTCCATCCCCCACTGCAGGAACACCTTCTCCGTGTAGCTGTGGAGTCCAGGTATCTGCATTGGAGGACTTCCAGGAGGAGGTTCCACTTAAACTGGAAGAGTTCAGAGAGGTGTGGACTAAGCTGAGGCCCTCTGAGAGGTCTAGTCTAAGCTCTGGTGACCTCTGGGTGATCCAGCCCCAGCCTAGGGACCTTCGAGTGGTCTAGCGTAAGCCAGAGGGACCTTATCCCAGAGTAGCCTAAGCCTCTTACCTCCTGGAGGAGGAATTCGGGCTGGTGGGGGTGGTGAGCAGCACCAGAACCTAACTCTGATCTAAGACCCTTCCCTGTCCTTCTAAAGAGTCAAAAGGGATGGAAATTCCTGGCAGTGTATGGGACAAATGTCCCTAACGTTGTTTTGTTCCCAACCCCCCACTGAGGAAAAGTGAATTTAAGAAGAAACTCATAACATTTCGGTAAAAAAAAAAAATACCTGGCATTTAAGCACAGAGCCCAAACCAAGGCGTGGACTGGGTGCTGGAAACACTCTGAAATCTCCAAAGCTTCATTCGTTGTTCAGGAAACAAAATGGAACAACTTTCTTTGCTCCCTCTGGGCCCCTCCCTCGCGCAGTAGCTGTTCTTGGCAGGTGCCCAGAGCAGCACCCGGTAATTCCACGGCACATTGTGTACATTCGCATCCATTTAACCAGCTATTTACAGCCGCCCTTTATGCCACCTGTAAGAGGCAATGCCACAAAAATAGTAAGGGGCTGGGCCGGGGACCGGGTGCCCCGTGATTTTCTCCACTTGGAGAGCCCGAATCTATGGAGTGGTTGGCACTTGGAGAAACGGGGTGACAGCTGGGTACATCACACGTACAAGGGCGGGAGGCGCGAGAGGAGGCGCGCCAGACGGAGGGTCCTTTTACTCGCCAGCTCCACTCGGTGGCTCCTTTTCCATGACCACACGGCTGGGAGGAACCTGCGGGCCTCCCGTGCGGCCGGTCTCCTGCCTGATAAAAAGCCCGCGGCTGCTCGGACTGGCTGAATTTCTGAATCACCGAGACGCCCGGAGGTCCCGCGGAGGGCGGGGACGCGGCGCGCTGGGGTGGGAGCCGCAGCCCCTCGGAGTCTGGGAAACCTGCTCGCGGATGTGATGCGGCGACACGGAGACACCTGCGCTCCCGTGCGTGCCGCACTCGTGCGGCTCCGGGTGGCAAACGGGGTGAAGCGGGGACGTGGGCGAGAGGAAGTTGAGGCGCCGGAGCGTTAGGAAGGCTGTCTGAGCGTCACTTGCTTTTCGGGAGCTGCCCCAAGGGGGGCT